TGGCTCAAGTGGTAAGAGTTATAGTTTTGAGCAAAAGAAGCTCAGGGATGGTGTCCATGCCCTGAGTTCAAGCCCCAGGAATGGCAAAAAGGAAAAAAAAAGAAATTCTGAAATATTTTGATTACATTTTTAATTTAATTTTTATTAACATAAATTATACAATTGGGTTTCACTGTGATATTTTCATACATGCATATAGTATATTTTGGTCAAATTAATTTGCTCTATTAGTACTTATTTCCTGTTTCCCTTTAAAACATTCTTAGTGATTTCATTGTTATTTTCATATACACACAAACACATACATACACACATGGTAATATAGTTCAGTCATATTCACTCACCATTACCCTCTTCATTCCTCTTAGTTATAAGACACTAGGGGTTTCTAGATGGCACGGTCATGTACTTTCTCCAAATTCAGAAAATATAAAAAACACAGATAAGAGCCATCCTTTTGAGTCTTTACTCCCACTTCCTACATGTGGAATGTGGTACAAGAAATGTTCCTAGGGGCTGGGAAGGTGGCTCAGTGGTAGAGCGCTTGCCTTGCATGCCTGAAGTGGTGCTGTGGCTCAAGTGGTAGAGCGCTAGCCTTGAGCTGAAGAGCTGAGGGACAGCGCCCAGGCCCAGAGTTCAGGCCCCACGACCAGACCCAAACAAACAAACAAAAAAAGAAATATTCCTAATCCCTGCCCCCCCCCCCCCCCCGACTTCTCCCTATCATATCTTTTTCTTTTTTTTGTCGGACGTGGGCCTTAAACTCTGCACCTGGGCCCTGTCCTGGAGCTCTTCAGCTAAGGGCTAGTACTCTACCACTTGAGCCAAAGTGCCACTTCTAGTTTTTTTTTTTCCTGGTTGTTACTTGGAAGTAAGAGTCTCAAGGACATTCTTGCAGGGGCTGGCTTTGAACCCCGATCCTCTGATCTTAGTCTCCTGAGTAGCTAGGATTATAGGTACGAGCCACCAGTGCCTGGCTCCCTACCATATCTTATTCCTATTATACAAACATAAATCCTTGCTAAAACTTCCACCTCAGGCTCTCTTCACAAGACACTCTGAATAATATAATTTAATATAATTTACCTAAGTTGTCTCATGCTTGTAATCCTAACTACTCAGGAAGCTCAGACCTGGAAGACAGAGGCTAAAAACCAACCCAGGCAGAAAAGTCTGCAGGACTCCATCTCCAACTAACCAGCTAAAAGCTGGGCTGGAGGTATGGCTCAAGTGGTATAGCACCAACTAGGAGCAAACTATCTGAGCAAAAGAGCAAAAGACCTGAATTCAAGTCCCAGTACTGGCAAAAAAAAAAAAAAAAAAAAGACTGACAGACAGATTGGAAGACAGGAAGACAGAAATACAGAAAGAAAGAAGGGAGAAAAAAAGCTAGGTTCATGAGGTCTCAGATGGAAGTGATATTAATATTAGGAATTATACTAGAAGCCATTTATGTTACATTCTAGCAAAGAACTTGTCTATTTTTGTCCATGCCCTGAGAATGGGAGACTGAGAATAAAGATAATGGAATAAATTATCTGTAGAGTTTTGTGTGTAAACTAGGGAGATGAGGGAACCTCCTGAGATGGAAGATTAAATGAATTCCCCAAAATTCCACTCATGAACACTGCTGCATTGAGGACTACACAGAGATTTTGGGAGACATTTGCAATCTAACCCATAATAGCTCTCAACTGTAGTCTCATCATTCCCTTTTATTTATATTTGTAATCTAGTTAATTTTGTTCTAACCTAATCTTTCTGGTAATATTATGCTAAACATAAAAACAATTACCTAAGCAGGGTGCTGGTGGCTCACACCTGTAATTCTGGCTACTCAGGAGGCTGAAATCTGAGGATCATGATTGGAAGCCAACCTATGCAGGAAAGTCCATGGGACTCTTATCTCCAATTAACCACTCAAACCAAATGTGATGCCTCGGCTTTAAGTGGTCTCTCTAAGTGGCCTCTCCTTTTTTTTTTTTTTTTTGGTCAGTTGTGGGACCCAAACTCTGGGCCTGGGCGCTGTCCTTCAGCTCTTCAGCTCAAGACTAGCACTCTACCACTTGAGCCACAGTGCCACTTCTGGCTTTTTCTGTTTATGTGGTGCTGAGGAATCGAACTCAGGGCCTCTTGCATGCAAGGCAAGCACTCTATCACTGAGTCACCTTCCTAGCCCCTGGCATCTCCCTTCTATATTTTCTCCTTTCTGTATTTCTTACCCTACAATGATTACCAATTTGCCCTCTACTTATACGAATTAACATTATTTTTGCTTCCATATATGAATGAAAATATTTAGTATCAGTCTTTCTGGGCATAGGTTATTTCACTTAACACAATTATCTTTTAGTTCTGTTTATATAAATTACAGGTTTCATTCTTTTATGGATGAATAGTATCCTATTATGTAGGTATATATATATATCATATTCTCTTTTGTGATTCATCTGTTCATAGATACCTTGGTTGATATAATAACTTGGCTATTCGGGCTGGGAAGGTAGATCAGTGGTAGAGTGCTTGCCTTGCATGCATGGGGCCCTGGGTTCGATTCCTCAGCACCATATAAGCAGAAAAAACCAGAAGTGGCACTGAGGCTCAAGTGGTAGAATGCTAGCCTTGAGCTGAAGAGCTGAGGGACAGCACCCAGGCCCAGAGCTCAGGCCCCATGACTGGCAAGAAAAACAAAACAAAACAAAAAACAAAAACAAAAACTTGGCTATTTGAATAGTGTAATAAACACAAGATTTGTCAGCCAGGCACTGGTGGCTCATGCCTGTAATCCTAGCTACTCTGGAGGCTGAGATCTGAGGATAACGATTTAAAGCCAGCCTAGTCAAGGAAAGTCCAGGAGAATCTTATCTCAAATGAACCACCAGAATACCAGAAGTGGTGCTGTGGCTCAAGTAGTAGAACACTCGCCTTGAGCTGAAGAGATCAGGGACAGTGCCCAGACAAAGAGTTGAAGCCCCAAGACCGACAAAAAAACAAAACAAAAGCATCTCTCAGGAATAGCGCCCAAGTCCTGAGTTCAAGCCCCAGGACCAGAGCATGCGCGTGCATACAAACACACGGACACACACAAGTACATTTGTGTCTGATATACTGATTTCATTTATTGGATATATACTTAGTAATGGGATAGGTGAACCAGACAGTATTTCTATTTTTAGGTTTGTGTTATTTTTATACTACTTTCCACAATGGCTGTGTTAATTTATATTTCCATCAACAATATTTAAGAGTTTCCCTCTTTTACATATCTGGTAGTATTTGTTATTTTAATTTTGTCTTTTTCATGATAGTCATTATAACTGGAAATAACTCATTGTGGTTTTTGTTTTTGCTTTCGTGTGTGTGTGTGTGTGTGTGTGTGTGTGTGTGTGTGTGTACGTGCGCACGCGTGCGCTAGTCCTGGGGCCTGAACTCAGGGCCTGTGGATTCTCCCTAAGCTTTTGTGCGCAAAGCTAATACTCTACCCCTTGAGCCACAGCTCCACTTCCAGGTTTGGGGTGGTTAATTGGAGATAAGAATCTTATAGATTTTTCTTCCTAGGCTGGCTTCAGACTGCATCCTCAGATCTTAGCCTCCTGAGTAGCTAGGAATATAGGCATGAGCCACCAGTGCCCTACTTTGTTTTGCTTTTTAGAGAGGATCTTACTGGCCTAGAACTCACTATCTTCTCAGCCTCTTTAGTGCTATGGTTTTAATCTACATTTTCCCAAGTTAGCCATTTGTAATCTTCTGAGAAATATCGATTCTGATTATTTTTCCATCAAAGGAAAACAGTATTATTTTTTGCTGTTCAAGAATATGCTGGATGTGCCGGGTGCCGGTGGCTCATGCCTGTAATACTAGCTGCTCAGGAGGCTGAGATCTGAGGATAGAGGTTCAAAGCCAGCCCAGGCAGGAAAGTCTGTGAGACTCTCATCTCCAATAAACCACTCAGAAAACTGGAAGTGGCTCAGTGGCTGAAGTGGTAGAGAACTAGCCTTGAGCTGAAGAGCTGAGGGACAGCGCTGAAGCTCAAAGTTCAAGCCCCATGACCAACCCCCCTCCCCTCCCAAAAAGAATATACTAGATGTTAAACATTTATCAGATACACAATTTACAACTGTTTCTCCTGTTCTACACATTGTCTCTTCAATCTGTTGATTTCCTTTGAGTGTGTAGACACACAATTTGATACAAGATTCTTAGTTTGAAAAAAGATTTATCAACATTCCTGTTTTCTCTCCGTGCATTTGGTGTCTTATCGTAAAATTACAGCAGGTATTAATATCTTAAAGTATTTCCCTAATTTTTCTTCTAGTAGTTCCATGTTTTATATCTACTTTCATCCATTATGAGTACATTTTTCTATAAGAGAGATAGCAGTCTAATTTCATTCTTCCAAAAATGTGTGTCCAGTTTTCCCAGCAGTATGTATTGAGGAGAGATTTTCCCAATGTACATTTTTGGTGCTTTTGTCGAAGATCAATTGGCTATCAATGTATTATGAGGTGATGGGGGGGAGGTTAAACTCAGGGTCTGGATGCTATCTTTTAGCTTTTTTGCTCAAGGCTGGCATTCATTCTACCACTGCAGTTACAGCTCCACCTCTTTCCATTTCCGGCTGTTTGCTGGTTAACTGAAGATAAGATTCTCATGGAATTTTCTGCCTCAACTGGCTTTGAACTGTGATCCTTTGATCTCAGCCTTCTGAATATCTAGGGTGCAGGCATAAGCAACTGGTGCCTGGTGAGTTCTTTACTCTGTTCCAATGGTCTATAAGTCACTAGTATCCTGTAATGGCTACTTTTTTAGTACATTTTGAGGCCTAGTAGTATGATGCCTCTATGTTTATCCTCTTTATTCAAGATTGTTTTGACTATTTCTGGTCTTTTATGGTTTTTTCAATTGTTTTCTAATTCTGTAAAGAATAACCTTGTATTTTTTAATGGAATTACATTTAATTTTTATACTCCTTTGGGTAATGTGAACCATAATAATTCTGGAAACATATAGAATGCTGCACAATCTCTGTGTTATCCTTATGCAGGGGCCATTCTAATCTTACTATCATTACAATTTAATTTATGTGGTACAAAAAGGGCATCAGCATGCATTATGAAACATTGTTTTCTGAACTTTTCCCCTAGAGCTATGTGATGTGGATATTTATGTGTATCTTTTAAAGTATTATAAGCAACAGTTTATTCACTGCCTAATAAGAATGTTCAACTTTTCAGCTTTCTACATCTGTTTTCTCAATTCCCACAACCTTGCTGGGTCAGGTTAATGTAGTGGCTTTGTTGTTAGTCACCTCTTCTTTTATTAATAGTGGTTAGTTGATTGCAGCAATTCTAAAAACAACCCTCAAATCTGAGTGTCATAATCCAATAAAGGTCTATTTTTTGTTATTCCAATGACAATCAGCATGGTAATATATGCTCTGTGAAATCATTAAGAGATCTTATGTTGTGATTTGGCTAACATACATGGAAAACAAGTAAAACTATAAATCACTGAAGGTTTAAGAGTCAGGCTTTTATGTTGGGCAATCACTGTTTCAGTCTACATTCCACTGGCCAGAAAAAAGTCAGGAAACCTGAACTGGAAGTAAGAACCTTAAGAAATGTGGGCTTGATGGAGACAAAAAGGAAAATAAAGTAGAAAATATGTATTAGTGTCTCTATTACATTTAAGATACTCTTAGTAGTTGGTACCAGAAAATTGGTTTTGTGGGAGAGGAAAACTTTTTTCTTTGCCCTATTAGGTTCAATTATTAAGGACCTGTGTATTGACAGATAAGCAAAAAGAAAATATTTTAATCACATATTTACATGCAGGCCTTATGTGCTTCAAAGGTATGGTTACAACTTGTAGTTGATATATGACTGAAAGGAGAAAGGTGGGAGAAGAGAATACTTACAGGAAAACCAATAACTTCTTACTGGTAGAGGCAATAAGGACTTAAAGGAAAGCAAATGATGTGTAGGAAGGACAAACTGGCCCTTTGGAGAGCAGATGGGAAATCTGATAGTTTTGTGACAATGTCTATTTAGGTGTGCTGATTCTCATTTTCTCTCACTGGAAGAGTCAATCTTCTCTGGTTCCTCCCTGGAGGGGATTTATACCAATTGAGTTCTTTGATTCTTTTGAAAGGTTCTGCTTATAAACAGATAAGAGATTTCAGGAACTCAAATGCATTCAGTTCCAAAAGAATTGTTTTGCCACAATCACTTAATCTGGGCCCCTTGAGCCTAAGCAAAAGGGAATTTATTAATTCAAAACAGGAGTTTAGAGGTGGTATGCAATTCAGAATGGGTTTGATTTCATAGTTTATGACCCTCTCCTGAAGAACTGACTTCTTTTTCCTGCCATTGAATCTCCTAGACTTCCTGTTAAAATAAATAAAGCCTGATAGTTTTATTTGTAGTTGACTTTCCTTAGTAGCAAAGAAAAAAAAAAATAGATGGATAGAGCTCTTTTAATATTGACATTAAATTACTTGGCTATGCAAAGAAAAGAACTTCTATCTTTTCCTGAAATCAAACAAAAATCCTGGGTTTTATCCTAGCCCGTGAAACAAACAAACAACAACAACAACAAAACAAAGGTGAGGTAATTTCTAGTTTTCTGGTCAGTTGGACCATTTGTGGCCCTGCTGTGGATGTTAAGGATTCATTTTGGCCAAATTTCAAGGATGAACATCAAAGACTTCTGGAATGATAGCTGGAAAAAAAATCACCTGTATTTGTTAGAATCAGTTAAGGTGTCTGTGAAGCACGATCTCTTTTATTTCATTTTTTTTTTTCTATTGGTCATGGGGCTTGAGCTCTGGGCCTGGGCGCTGTCCCTCAGCTCTTCAGCTCAACACAAGCACTCTACCACTTGAGCCACAGCCCCACTTTCGGACTTTCTCATGGACTTTCCTGCCGGGGCTGGCTTTGAACCACGATCCTCAGATCTCAGCCTCCTGAGTAGCTAGGATTACAGGCATGAGCCACAGGTGCCTGGCAGCATGATCTGTTTTAAAGACAGTGTACTATAAAGTAAAAAGGGCTGAAGTTATAACAAATTGGGGGAAGAGAAGCTCAATAAAACCAATAGGAAGGTATGAACAATAAATTGAGAGAATCAGGAGGGAGATGTTCTAGAAACTAATGAAGGAGTTTTAGGGTTGGAATAAACAAAACCACTTAAATGACTTATGTGATTTAAAATTGTATTAATTTAATTTTATTCTCAAGGTGATGTACAGAGGAGTTACAGTTACATACTGATTTTTAACTTTTTATGTTTGTTATTTTGATATTTTGTTTGTTTTTCTCTGAAATGCTTATATTTAGGGTCAAAAGGAAAGGGAAATCTGGGAAGACAATTCCATGGACAAAGTGAGGACAAGAGTAAGTCATGGCTACCTGTGAGTTAACAGGGATGAATATCTCATATATGCCTCTTTGACATATAATTCTGGGCTAAAAGCCATTAAAGAACAGTAGAGAAAAGCTTTCTCTACCTTCCATCTAAAGACAGAATACCTCTGACCAAACCAAACCTAGAAACAAACTTATTCTCAACTACTTCCCTTCCCTTCATATTTTTGGAAAGCTTAAAACTTCTTTTTTCTTGTCATCCCCCCCCCCCCCCCATTTATTTTTGTTGTTGTGGTTCAAGATCCTATGCAAGCTGGACATGGTGTCGTACACCTGTCACTTGGGAGGCTAAAGCTGAAGGAGTTTTGAGTTTGAGGCCAAACTGGGCTACATCATGACACCTGTAATACCTAAGCCAATGACTTAACTTTTTTTTGTCAGTCATGGGGCTTGAATTCAGTCTGTGCGCTGTCCCTCAGCTCTTCAGCTCAAGGCGCGCTCTACAACTTGAGCCACATTGCTACTTCCGACTTTTTCTGTGCTGTGGTATTGAGGAATCGAACCCAGGGCCTCATGCATGCAAGGCAAGCACTCTACCACTCTCAAGCACTGAGCCACCTTCCCAGCCCAATGACTTAACTTTTTGTTTTTGGTCGTGGGGCTTGAACTCTGGGCTTGGGCACTGTCCCTGAGCTCTTCAGCTCAAGGTGAACACTATCACTTGAGCCACAGTGCCACTTCTGACAACTTTTATTAATGTTTCTCCTACATAACTTACTCTGTGTGCATTAGTAAACTTCCTTGTTTTTCTGTTAATTGATCGTCTATTACAGAGGTCTATCCTGAGTAACCACAAACTTGAGAGGTGAGAAATTTCTTTCAGGACATCTGTAGCTAGGTCTAGTCTTTTAAGGGTGATCCAACTACCCCCTGGGGAAGATTGTTCTGGAAAAATAATCAATATGGAGCCTACAAGAATGATAATCAGCTGGGCACCGATGGCTCACGCCTGTAATCCTAGCTACTAAGGAGGCTGACATCTGAGATCAGTTCAAAGACAGCCTGCCCAGGAAAGTCTGTGAGACTTTTATCTCCAATTAACCACCAGAAAACCGAAGTGGCCCCACGGCTCAAGTAGTAGAGCGCTAGCCTTCAACTGAAGAGCTCAGGGACAGGGTGCAGGCACATAGTTCAAGCCCCAAATCCGACCAAAAAAAGAAAAAAAAAGATAATCACCTCTAAGAAAAGCTGGGGCTGACTGAATGAGAAACAAATTTGAATCAAGCTAATTAAACTAGGGAAGGCAGAACTCACAAGATTGGTAGTTGAGGGACTAGGAAGGTGGCTTAGTCGTGCAATGCTTGCCTTGCATGCATGAAGCCCTGGGTTGGATTTCCTCTGTACCACATACACAGAAAAATGGCACTGTGGTTCAAGTGGTAGAGTGAGCAAAAAAAAAGCTCAGGGACAGTGCCTAGGTCCTGAGTTCAAGCCCCAGCACTGGCCAAAGGAAAAAGATTGGTGGTTGAGGAAGAGCTGTGTGTGTGTGTGTGTGTGAAAAAACGTTTTCAAGTCTTGGTCCCTCTAGAGAGATGGCCCATACCAACTGCCATTGATCCTTTGTCCTCTTAGGGAACCTGTCCCTAGACTCCAGAACACAATGCTTATCAGCTAACTGTGCAGGCCGACAGAAGTACCTTGGAAAAAGCGTCCTTTTAAATGCACTGGGCGTAACGTTGTTATTTCAAGGTATTCCAAGGGTACCGCCACCCATAGGGTAAAGGTCACCGTACGTTTCCAACCAACTGGGCAAAATGAGCCGATGGCTGGAGGAACCTGACTGGATTCCTTCAGCTAGGTCGGGGTTGACTTCTTCCTTTCTCTCCCAGGCTGGTCATGTTTAAATTTTTCCCAAGCAAGACTATTTTTGGGGTTTCCCCCCCCCCCCCATCTTTCCAACCTTGACAAAGGAAGCCGGCTGAGCACTCACCGCTGCACGCTTACACACTGGCTTTCAAGTCTTATCTCTGGACTGTGGGCCTTGGCCTGGCGTGGCCGCTGTGACCCGCGGGTGGTGAGGCGAGGCGAGGCAACAGCCCGGGCCTTCGAGAGCCTGCGACGCCCCGCGCACATGGCGCGAAGCCCGCCTTTTGTGTCGGCGGGAAAACCAGGAGCCCGGATGTAGTCGGGAGACTGACCCGGAGCTTTACCCATGAGGCAGCGCGCGTTTGTGTGTGTGCGCGCGCGCGCGCGCGTGGCCGCGCCAGCTTTCCTCCCCCCCCCCCACTCCCTCCCCCGTCTCCCCTCCCCCTCTCCCGCTTCCCACGGCTCGGGCTGCGGGCTCCGCAATGGGAGCCGCCGCCGCCGCCGCCGCCGCCGCTGCTGCTACCGCCACCGCTACCGCTGCTGCCGCCGCTTGGTAGTTTTTCGCGCTCCTCCTTTTTCTCCTCCTCCTCCTCCGCCTCCTCCTCTTTCTCCTCCTCTTTCAGGGCTCCAGTCAGGCCGAGCCGGCTCCGCTCACGGTAAGCGCACCCCCCACCCCGCCCGCCCCGCGCGGCCGCGGGCGGAGGCCTCTTCCAGCGCGGCCTGCGCCAGCCGCACTTCGGGGGGCACTGGGCTCGTGGTGGTGGTGGTGGGGGGGGGTGGGGGGGTCTCAGGCCGGGGCGGGCCGCTGTCGTCGTCCGAGGCGCCTTGGCGTGGGGGTGGGGAGGGGACCGGATGCGCAGTGGGGTCGGACCG